ACGCACCGGAGAGCGCACACTCGACACAAATGGAGCGCACACTCGACCCAAATAAGAGCGCACACTCGACCCCTCCCCCTTTCGAATGGTCAGGGCTCGTAGAGACTTGCGGATCCTTGCGCAAAGCCCCGAACTCAGAAAAACAACAAGGCCAACTAAATGAACGCTCCACTGCGACCCTAAATCCTGAACGATGAACATTTCTCGTCTCGGGACAAGGCACAGAGGCCAAGGGAATCCCAGATCCCTAAACCCTAAACCCTAAACCCTAAACCCTGAACTTCAGTTCAAGGTTCCGGGCTTTGCGGCTCTGGGGCTTCAGATTTTGGTGGCGCGGGGTGGCTCTGAACCCAGATCTGACACCCCTGATGTAGGGGCCTTCATAATTAGAATAGGATTGGTGGGGGCTCCTTATTATAATTATAGTATATTATACCCCCAACCCTTTCCTGACTATTAAGGCCCCTGTCTTAGACCCAGGAACCTTTGAAGTGTAGACCGCGGAGCATGTCGGGCAGGTTGCTGGAGCTCAGAATCTGGCCATTCCGTTCTCCCCACTGACAAAGGCGGTCCCTGTGGTGTGCAGAGATGTTCCACGCTCTCGTTAGCATGCAGGGCTTAGGGATCATTGGTGTAAGACAATTTTAGTTTGAAACTTAGGCATGTACGCTTAAGACTAGGGGGTAGGACTTCGGTTGTAAGCGTTCGGGATGGAGGCTGTTCTCACAACTCGGACAATGCCAGATGAGGTCTCTAGGTTCGCAGTCGGCGATCGAAAGGATCCAAACAGTAGCAGGCGCAAAAAGCCTAACATGTCAAGAGTATCAACAAAGTGCATTCAGATAAGCATGTGCAGATGACTCCTCGGCCCTTGCGTGGCACTTGTTCGTCATGGCCAGCTGGCACTGTGTTCGCTGATCAGTTGATCAGTTGGCCATTGCTAGTCCCTTCCGCGTGGTCTCCGACCAAAACGGACTAAAACAGAAGCCCTTATCGCTTCTAAGAAGTGTGTCCACTCACCTGGACAATGCAACAAATTATGCAACAGATAGCTGACATCGCAGCACTGTTGTGAATGCAAGTTGCCGGTTGCAGATGTTCTACATTATCAGCAGACATGTTCGGACTCCTCAGATGCTTCCGACTCAATCTTGCGGCCACCTGGGGAATACTTCTTAACTGGGCTGTGGTAACTCTCACCGTGAGTGTGTTGGTCAACACCGCCAAGCTCTTGGTCTTCTGGAATTCGAAGCTTGAACAGCAGCTTCATGACTCCCACGATGATGGCAGTGCCCACGGCAGAGAAAGCCACACCAGCCAGCGCACCAGCAATCTGCTTGCCCAACAGCACGAAGCTACCACTGTAGATGAGGCCTTCGTCAACTGCAAAAATGCCCGTCAAGATGGCACCGGCAAAGCCACCAGAGCCGTGCAAGCCGAAGGCGTCAAGAGTGTCATCCACCAAGTTGATCCTGTTCACTGCTTCAACAGTAAGGTAACACCAAGGAGCGCCCAAGGCACCAATGGCAATGCTCCAGCCAGGCGTCACAAAGCCGGCTGCGGGTGTGATGACCACCAGGCCTGCAACGGCACCGACAGATGCACCCACACTGGTTGACTTGCCCTTCAGGACACGCTCAAGCGCCAGCCACGTCAGCATGGAGGAAGCCGCAGCCACGAAAGTGGTGGCCACTGCACGAGCTGCCACTCCATCTGTGGTGGACAAAGCAGAGCCACCGTTGAATCCCAACCAACCAAACCAAAGGAGGCAGCCACCCAAAATCACGAAGGGGGCGTTGGCTGGGCCGAGGTCCTTCTCAACGTGCTTGCGTGGGCCAAGGATTGCACCGGCAACGAGGCCAGACACACCTGAGCTGATGTGGACCACGGTTCCACCTGCAAAGTCGAGAGCTCCGAGCTGGCCAATCCAGCCGCCCGGTCCCCAAACCCAGTGGCACAAAGGTGCATAGATCAGAAGGGACCACAGGGCCAGCATGATACAGTAAGCACTGAAGCGCACACGTTCCACCAAGGATCCGGAGATGATGGCACTAGCGATAATGGCGAACGTCATCTGGAACGAAGCGAAGACAAGACCTGGAAGCGTGT